CGCAACTCTCGACCATAGCAAAGCAATGCCGGAGTATATCCGGTGACTACGCTCTCTGCAGTACGCATGGCAAGGCTGATCTCGGGTATATGACGGTCCCAGTCTTTGTGGTTAGTGCAGTAGGCTCGTAGACATTGCTTAATTGTGCCATTATGACGCTCCACCATCTGTCCAGCCGGCCGGTAAGGCACAGTATGCCGATCTCTGATTCCCCAGTGTTTCAGGAGGTTGCGCCATAATGTGCTGACAAAGGGCTTCCCATTGTCACTGGTGATTGCCACTGGTGTCCCATGGCGGCAGAAGACCTGAAGCATGCACTCAAGTACTTTTGCACTGGTGGCTGCTCGTAGAGGGAATAGCTCTGGGAATTTAGTAAACTTGTCAATGACTACGAGCAAGTATTTGTGGCCACGAGGTGTAGGCGGCAAGGGTCCAATAATGTCAACGCTAAGCTCCTCCATCGGTGCTGTTGCCCACTGACTGCTCATCAGGCCTTCAGGCTTTTTGCGCCTGGGTTTTGTGCGCTGACATATAGCACAGCCCTGCACATACCTTGATATGTCCGCCCGCATGCCCAGCCAGACGAATCGTGCTGCTACACGTCTCAAGGTTTTGAAAAATCCAGCGTGGGCCGCAGTGGGATGGTCATGCGCCATTTTCAATGCCAGGTGCCGGAGGTGAGAGGGCAGCCATGGTACCTTCTTGTTGCCTCTTTGCTGAACAAGCAGGCCACTTGGCTCTAGTTCTGTTGTTTCCGCCAGATCATGGAGAAGGCGATGATCAGGGTCTGAATTTGGAAGCATAACCCCCTGGACCACAGTTTTCAGTTTTGACAGACGACTGTCACGAGCCTGCTCTTGTACGAGTTGCGCGGTGTCACTTAAGGCAGTCATATCATCTTCCAAGGCAACTGCCACTTGCTCAAATGTAATTTTCCCTTCAGGTTCTTGTGCAGCAATAGGAAGCAGTTTCTCGTGCAAGCTGTCGCTGGGACGGTCCTCACATTGAAGGGGGGCTCTACTCAGGGCATCTGCAGGTATATTTGCCAGCCCCCGTCTGTGCCTGATTCGGCAGTTGAAACCCTGCAACCGGAGGACCCAGCGTTTGACCCTGGGCGAAGCTTGGTCGGTGCTGAACATCCACGACAGGGAAGAGTGGTCGCAGTGTATCTCAAAGTTTGTAAACTCGAGATACGCCCTGAATTTGTCCACAGCCCACACCACTGCAAGGCATTCCCACTCCTGGACAGTATAGTGGCCTTCGGCTTCTGTGAGAACCCTGCTGATGAAGGAAATGGGCTGCAGTCCGTCGGGGCCAGCCTGCAGTAGGACAGCTGCAATGCCAATGCCGCTTGCATCCGTTTCAACCACGAAGGGTCGATTGAGATCTGGAAGGCTCATAACTGCATCATGAGCCAAGGACTGCTTGAGCGCAGTGAAGGCTTCCTCTTGACGCTCATCCCACCGCCATGGCTCGCTTTTCTTCAGAAGGACAGTGAGTGGATGTGCCGTCAGTGAGAAATGCGGTATGAAGCTGCGGTAATAACCAGCAAGTCCCAGGAAAGCCTGCAACTGTTTAATCGTGCTAGGTCGCGGATAATCCAGCACCGCCCGCACTTTCTCTTCATCTGGTCTGCACTGCCCAGGGGAGATGACGTGGCCCAAGAACTTAAGGGACTGACGGCAGACTTGCATTTTATCAGGGTTAATCGTAAGGCCAGCATTGCCAATGCGCTGCAACACTTCCCTAACATGCTCAACATGACTCTCCAGATCTTCAGAGTAGACGAGAACATCATCCAGAAAAGCCATGGCGAAGCTGTGATTGATGCCGTGCAACAACCGGTCCATCAGGGTTTGAAAAGTTGCCGGGCCACCTGCCACCCCGAAGGGCATTCTCGTGAACTCATATGTGCCCTGGTGGCAGATGAAGGCTGTTTTTTCTATGTCGGCCTCAGACACAGGGATCTGAAAGAAACCCTGGGAAAGGTCGAAGCTCGAAAACCACCTTGCACGACCCAATTGTGCTAGCAGCCAGTCCGTTCGTGGCATTGGGTAGGCAGGTATGCGGGTGCGTGCATTTAACGGCCGATAGTCCACAGCAAGCCGGTAGCCACCAGATTTCTTGGCAACAAGCACTGGGGCACTAGTCCAAGGGCTGGTGCTATGTCTTATAAGGCGCTGCTCCAAAAGGTCATTTACGCAGTCTTCAATGATCTTCTGCTTTTTTGCATTTACTGGGCGCAGCTTGCATCTCACAGGTGCACTATCTCCAGTGTCAATGCAGTGCTGAGCGAGGGCGGTACATCCAGGAATGGTAGTGAACAAATGAGAGAAGTCATCGAGCACCTTATTCATGGTTGGTATGCCTTCAGCTGGAATAGTGTGCCCAATGCCCGGGACCAGAAGCACTTCCTCAAATAGGCCCTGCAAGCAATAAGATTCACTATTTTCTATCGCGAGCGCGGCGGTTATATCCTTGTCGCGCTTAGCAAATGGCACAATGCACTGCGGATCAGTTCCAATAGTCCACCCCGACAACGCCACATGTAGGGACATGCCTGTTGCAGTCAAAAAGTCTCTGCCAAGCACAATGTCCCGACACAAATCTGGCACACACAGGAAGCGTTGGATGCGGTTGCTTGAGGCCCAATGTATCTTGCACTTTAAGGATGTGCTTGACTGTGACCAACCTGTGGCCAGTCGAAGAGCTCTTTCTTGTACCCGGTGTTTGGCGCCCGTCGCCTCCGCTACCCTTGCCGCTGGCGTACCAAGCAAACTCACACTGGACCCTGTATCTAGCAGGGCCAGGAATGTGGTCCGCCCAATCCGCACCTCCAGGAGAGGCTCCCTGTTGCCGGCCACAGCCGCTATCCGCAGCGCTGTCTCGTAGGTGCTCGCCGGAGTAGCACCTACCGTCTCCCGTTTCCCGGGCACTGGGAGCGGATATGCCCGATTCTGTTGCACTGATAGCAGCGGGGCGGACCGTTACGCCGACCCGAAGGGCACTCGCGACCCATGTGGCCTATGCCTCCGCAGCGGTGGCACGTAATTGCCCCGCCGTCGAGCAGTTGGTATCGCTGCGGCTGTGGTGGCGTGGGAACATGTGGAGCAGGTGATCTGTGCAGCTGGTCCCGGTAGTAGGACGGCTGTATCGCAGCGGGGTGCAACGGCCAGTATGATGCTGCCGACGGATGCTGGAACGGCGCCGCAGCCGCCGCCATTACTCCGGGCTGCGCTCCTGACAGGCCACTGAGGCCAGCCGTATTCCCAGCAGGCCGGAAGGCAAGGTCCCTCGCAACTTGATCGGTTGGGGGTGGCGGTGGTTTGTACTGGAATCGCCTCCAATACCGCTCCATGAGGCCGTCAGCGGCCCTTGCCAGCTCCGCGAGAGTTGCAAACTGCTTGCCCTCCACCAAATCCTGGAGCTGCGGGTGCATCTGCCGCAACACACGGTCGACTTTTTCTGTGTCCGACACTTCGCCGCCGATCCTGTCATAGAATTCCGCGATCGTGTAGATAAATTCTTTTAAATTTTCTTCGGGGTGCTGAGTGCGGAGCTCCAACTCCTGCCTCAGGCGCCGCTTCGCATCAATAGACGAAAATTCCGCAACGAACGCCGCCTTGAAGTCATCCCAGGATGCAAATGATTTGACGAAGCGCAGCCACAACTTCGCGCTCCCCTCCAGCGCAGCGGGCACGATATGCGTGAGCCTCTTGTCGGCGGCGACACCAGTCACCAAGCAAAAGGTCTCGAGGCGGTCCAGGAATTCTTCGGGTGACTGCGCATCGCCGAATCCAGCGAACCGCGGGGGCTGACTTCCCGAGGCCCGGGGAGCGCAGTCAATCGCCGGCTGGATCGCCGCCGCCGCCGCTGCTGTCATGGCGCCTGCAGGCATGGGCTCGGCCGTCATAAGCCTTTGTCTGACGGCAGCCGCGATTTGCTCGCGCTGTATGGCGGATCCGTTTGTTTGTCCCAGCAAGTGCTGCAGCAGCTCTTCCGGCACATTCACGCTGTCCATTCCGGTTGCCATGTCGATCCCGGACGAGCCCCCACTTATCACGCACGACGATACACTTCACGACAGGCAACCACGCTCACACAACCATTTATTTCTCGTGCCATACTCCGACCGCACCCGTCCCGACTTCGACCGCCCCGTCCCCTTCTCCCTCTTTCCGTGCGCCCCCTCACTGTTCACGTGACAATCGCGCACGCCACCTCGTTCCTCCACTGTCAACCACGCACAGCCTCAGAGACCCCTTCACTGTTCACGTGACACTCGCGCACGCCACCTTGTTCCTCCACCGTCAACCACGCACAGCCTCAGAGATTCACACCCAGCCTACCGGCACTCCCTCTTATTCCTCACAGTAATAAGTGGATTAGGACTATTGCATATTATTTAGTACGCGTGCACATGGTTCGCAAAATTTTTGCTAAATTTGCGCGCTCCCTTCTCAGTGCCCCAAAATTGTGAAATAAGTGCGGAAATTATGCGAGTAAATATGGTGAGTGCGTTATACCCGAGAATTGTAATAAAGGTTATTTCTAACATTGTACTATCTATTTCATGACTATTTTTCATTTACTTTGTTATAACCGATATTTTGTTATTATCCTCGTACGGTTAAATTGAGGTTCGAGTGCATAACACATGTGCTCTTACATACGTGCACATAGTACCCTTCTGTCATTAAATTGGTGAGGTACACCTTCATTTTATGCATTTCCCCCTGCATCCACAACTTTTTTTTTACAACGGTTTCGTGCCGCTGTATTATGTACAAATAGTTTTCCTTTAATTCTATCGATTTCTTGTCAACTTCCTAAGCTATTGGTCATGCAAAGGGCACCATGTCAGCTATCCATTAAAAGTGGAAAAAAAGGAAACCGGAAAGAGGCATGGTATCTAATGGCTTACGCTTGCATTAGTCTGGGAATACCCGTGTGTTTGGTGCAGTATGTCAACTTGCTTATACTGCTCCATTTTCTCGTAGACTCGTCCTTCAAGCATGGCTCCCATGCCGCCGTCATCTTCACCTTACCGGTCGTCGTACAACCGTGACCAGGGTGATGTATCCCCAGATGGGGACAGCTCGCCTCCGCTGGCCAGCAGCCCCAGCAAGGAGCTGCGCAACCATGCGGTGTCGCCCGAGCCCACTTCCCACAGTCGAAGCAGCAACAGCAGCAGTGGGGGCATCGGTGGCAGGGACTCCTCGTCGTCTCTGGGCAGCTTGCAGTCACCACCAGCATCGCCCACCAAGTCAGCATCGCCCGCATCTCCACGCGTTGGTGATGCAGGTGGAAGCAGTGCCATCGAGCCTCTCCTGGATGAGGTGAGCCCACCGGAAGAGTTTCAGCATAGTGCCAAGACCTGTGTTGAGGAAAACATCCTTGTGTTGCAAGGTGCCGTTCTTTGAGAAAGTGAAGTATGTGAAAGTAGCACTGCAGTTAAATGCAGGTGCCAGCACATTGGCCCCATACAACACATGGGCCATTGCAGCAAAATCCTTGCACTCTTAATTTTAATTCATTAGCACAGATCTTTTACCATTATTTTTTACCGAGCATGTACACTTCTATATGCACCAGAAGATATAATTCAGCTCAACTCTGCTTGGCTTCAAAAGGGGAGATGCTGCTCGAGCACGCTTTCTTCATAATATTCACTTTAGAGCAATGAAACTTCATCTGTTTATAGAACTTTTTCATTGCATGTTGCATACTTTTCAGTTCTACAACTTGACAAAGTGAAAACCTCAACTTTTTTTTTTTGTGTGACAAGAGCCTGCAGGTGTTTCATTATATATAGATGTCCATGATGTGAACACTCCCTCTATAAATGAGTTGTCTAATGAACTTCGCTTTTTCATCTGGAGTCACCCCCTTTCCATGAGCCACATCACTCCGCATAGGTTGGCGTTCTAATATATGCATCCCAGCATATTTTCTTGCACTTTCACGTATCATATTAAAAAAATAACAGCAGCTACGCACTTGCAGCGAAGTAGACAACATGAGGCCGTAAAAAAAAAAAAAAAAAACATGAATGGCTGTGGATGTCTCAGGCTGACGCAAAACATCGTCATCATAGAACTTGAAGCAGAGGTGCTGTCATTCTCAAACTCACTCAATTCTCACTCACTTCTCACTCAGTTCAGATATGATTGCAATATAATTTCAAGCGGCGCATGTTTTTTGCAGCACAGGTGTGGACCCATGCGGGTGTGACACCACTGCCATATGAGCAACTAGTGACACTAGATGCCGCCCTTTGTCTGATATAATGATACAAGCGAAACCAAAGCTTCTGGAAACTGGCTGAGTAGGCCACCTCCAGACTTTACACATGTGGTGGACCTTCGAAAATATTTTTTGTAGATTAAAACTGGCATACATTTGTGACAATTATTACTGCTCATCACTCTCAGATTGTGAAGCTGACACCTTGAATTGATATTTGGCTTACAAAGGTTCTTTTAATTACAGAACATTGATATTACTGCTGCATAACTACAAGGCGCATGCACTTTTGTCAAATTCACCAGCCAAGTGCATTTTCCCAACAACACACGCACATTGGTTCACGCAAAAGTCTGGCAATGTGGCCAAAACGGGCAAATTAAGTGGAGTGGCTGGACTAACTACTAGAAAGTACTGGGTTCACGAGAAACAAATTCAACATGCCAAAATTGACGATTAAAAGCGTGGATCATTCCCATCACTGAACTTCCATAATTTGTTACCATTGATAGTTCAAATAAAGTGTAGAATGCAAAAACCAATTAGGAAGTGCATACAAAATATGTAATAGATGTGAAAAATAATAGACGTGAAAAGTCTAAATCTCTCCTACCCTAGTAAATGTTTATCTAGAATTTTTATTATATAATAAACATTAAAGTTTAATCAATATAATTACATTTCTCATACTTTGGAAAAAATTTGGGCGAAACGTCATGCAGGCTCGAGCATCAGAAGTACCTAAAAAAAGAGGGGCACATAAAAAAAAAGGGAAAAACTGTGTTCTGATAAAAACAAGTTTTAGAGTTGGAATTGAATGTTATTTATGAAAGAAGTCATTAAAAGCAGTGAAATTAGCACACAAAAAAGAACAATCCTTCTTGTAGTGGCCACTGCCACTAGAATGCGTGAGCACCATAAGTTCGTTCCTCGCGGCTCTTTCGAGCTGACTCCTCGCAGACGTTTTGCTGACAAACAAGGCCATGAAACGCTTGTCAAACTTTTTACGCTTTATCTGGCAGAGCCTTGTGCTGACTGCAAGCTAGGGAGACGTTTGACAGGACTTCGAAATCTTAACGAAGTCCAGTGTCAAGGACACAACAGTGCCGGTGCCACTTTGTGGCCACGTTTGTGCTACATACCATCGTACATAACAGCAATGTCGTCCCCGCTAACTTCCCTTACTGTGAGCTTGTTCGACCTCACAAGAGTGGCACAGATGGCATCCATTGCCACATCGCAAACTTTCTGGCTGATGGCTGCGAATGACCTTTGATGCATTGGCTGTTGCACGCCAACAACTGCCACGAATCAGACCAGGTGCTCATAGTGTATTCCTACAGAGTGTGCCGCCACAACAGCTTTCACGTTGACAGCGTAGCTATCGCTTTGGCTGCAGCATTTTTCATCCATAACGAAGATAAACACCTCGACAAGACATGGACCCCGCAAGTAGGCTTCACAGCACATACGAGTGGGCATTTCCCGATCCGTACCATGGGATTTAAAAAGCAGTTGCGGTGCTTAAAGAACATGGCAAATGAGTGGTTTTTATTATTTCTTCAGCAGCAGCAGCAGCGCGGGAAACTCATTATTTGAAGAGTGAGGGTTGGCTCTTTGCCTCATGCAATCGACAATGGTGGGCGGCCGCGGCTCATTATCTGTGGCAAGGTGTTAAAAGACTTCACACCGTCGACCTTTGAACAGCTACCTTGTGCTTTTGACACAATTTTAAAACATTTCCAGCTGAGTCTCGACTTTTTTTTTTTTTTTTTTCAGTACAGTACAGATCAAAACAGGTGAAAACAAAATATCGGTAATTTTAAAGAAAAGTCACGTTTTTCGACCTGCATCTCTCCTAAAATGCACCATTGGATAATGCCATAGCAAGTATTGCTGCGTATTTCTATACTTGTAACACTTGTAACAAGCAGGTAGTGTCCTCCTTTGACAAAGTCACCAACAGAACTGCCCACATATTGGCTGTCAGCTGCTATAATTCAGGTTATAAGGTTTTGAATGTGAAGTCGGGTCATACTTTGATATAAAGAATATAATAAAGTGTGCACTTTGTTAATTTAATCTTCATTACGTTGAAAATCTATATTTTATGCAAGGCTTAGTAGCTGACAGATTCCTCTATTTTGTATGTAAATTGGGTTGTTTGAAATTCCTGAATAATACAGCTGTATGAAAAGCTAATTGCTCTTCTACTATTTGGAAAAATAAAGGTCATACATGCTGAATCTGCTACCAACAGTTACATTTGCAGTTCAGTGCTGTGCCAAGAAAGTCATCCTCACTGTGGATTCATAGTGCATGGATACCTGAAATGAGCACAAGTCAAGGCCTCTTTTATGATCAGTAGAAGGGAATTTATCTTGTCAATATTGCTACTGCGGCGTTGCCAGCGTCACCCCGGGTATCTCCCAGATCAATGTAGAACTTGATGCCATGTGCACCGAACTCGACTGCTGCTCCCTGTGCAGTTTGTTGAACAAAATTTCACGAGCTGACGGGCACTGACAAAAATAATTTTGCATTTGCGTGGTTTGTGTGACAGCATGATTTGAACTTCATGCGACAACATCGTGACATGCAGCAACCTTGTTCATGACTGCCTCATCTTATATTTTGCACTATCACACATTAATTATTTAAAAAGAAAATTGAGCAATATCTGATACAACATTGAAAATTTGGTATCCATTACACATGCAACAGTAGTGTTCAAAGTCTGGTTTCTTGCACTACGTTCATATGATTTTATGCCGCACAGATGTGTGTGAGCTTGAAAAACTACAATACAAGAGCAGCGAACTTAATGGAAAGTCTTGCTTTTTGTAGATAATTCTGCTAATTCTATATGCCTTCATTTCGCTAGATATTACTGCTTCATGAAATCAAGAATAGCTACTTTTGACCTCTAGATCATGGAGCGCAAGTATAGTGATATTTGAAAAAAAGTTGTACATCCTTTTCCTCACTGATTGAGATGGCTTCCTGGTTTGGCAACGTCGGTTTTCTCTCTGATAAAGATTGCTTGCAAAATGATGCTCATTTTGTTTGCGAAAGGGCATTATGCTGAAGCACTACAGTAAAAGCTCGTTAATTTGAAATTCATGGGACCAGAACAAGTTTTCAAATCAGCAAAATGGATTAATATCACTTATATTAGGAAATTAAATGATTGTGTACCATACAGATCTGCTTTTATTTTTAAAGTCAGAAATCCTGTTCCCACATGGCATAAAAGCCCGGTAAAAACTGCAATTCTTGTAATTTTTTTCACAATGTGGCCACAGTGCGAAATCTCTCCATATTAATAAATCTAAAACGGGCTTTTCACCTTCTCCTTTCTGACCGTGGGCGAAAACGAGCTTGCTGGCGGCACAGTCACAGATAGCATCCTCTCACTTATGAAGGCATGAGTGGCCTAAGTGCACCATGTCGTGCACTGTAGTAGCTACCGAACTGACCTTATACCCCTGTCACACGGGCACTTAAAAGTCTTTTAAGCAAGCGGTCTTTTTTCGAAAAGGAGTTCCTGACAGCAGACACACGGCACAGAGCGAACTCCTTTTCAGAAGCGGTCTTTTTCGTAAACGCCCCGCAGGGGCGCCTGCGCAAGTAGGCGTTTGGTGTGTAGCGACACCACGGACCCGAGCTAACGGGGGAGTTTTGACTCCCTCCCACGCCTAGCCGTGCGTGGCTTTGCCGTGTCCAAGGAAAAGGGGATCCTGGGGGTTGAGCTGACGCTGGGTGATTGGACCTTTAAGGCCCCCTGGCAGAGGCAACACACCTCTTTGGCCCCGGCTTCACGTAGGCGGCACCCCTGGGCTGACCCACCCAGGGGAAATCGGCAGTCGCCTTTTCCTATCTCTCTCTGCCTATATCTTCGTCTTTATCTCTCACTATCTATCTGTCCTGTCCTCTACTCTCTTCTGTTTACTTCCAATTTTCCTGGCGGCAAGGGTTAACCCTGTGCAAATAGCCTACCTTGGTCTAGGCGCATTGGGTTATGGCAGTGTTGTACAGCTGACGTCTGCAAGCTTTCAGCACCTGTAAACTTGCAGCGTCCCCTTGTTGGGCT